TTATCATACTCTGCTTTTAGCTGCAAAATGAAAAATGTATTTATATCTCCTTTGCAGATAAGCAGTCTAGTGTGAAATGTTAACAAAAGGAAAGGTATTTCAGAAGAGTGCTAGACAGCAACAGAAAGAAGGAGACATCCAGTTGAGCCAATATGACCATTGTCAGAACATCTTTGTTGGTCATTTTATTCCTAATCAAAAGCAGAATCTTGCTTCCATCTCTTTTTGTAGCAGCAATTTCTACTTGTGAAATACAATACTTTAGAAATGTCAGGCAAGTTTCCTAAAATCTCTTTGGGGTTCTGAAACGTTGCATGAGAAAAGCTGGGGACAGGGAGCTAGTACAAGCTTCTCCAGAACCCTTGTTTTAATCACCTCTGTTCTCTCTGTAAGAGGAGTTTCATCATCTTTTAGTATCTATAGCCCAAAAGCTTTTCTAACACCATGGAAATATATGATACCATTAGACAGAAGAAAAAAAATCCATTGATACAAAGGAATAAGCAGAGTCTTCTACATAATGAAGTACTTACTGATTTGCTTTGGGTCACGCTGACAAGGCCTACTTTGAGGCACTGAATTCTTGCAGCCTCAGTTTTGTTTAGATGAAACACTGGCAACTGCATGAGCATATGAGCAATGAGTACCCAGTGATCCACCCTGATTTAGGTTATGTAAAACTTAGTGGGTGTAGGCACACATGTGCCTTCTGAATTGCACTCCCGACGGTTAGCTTGGCTGCCAGTGTTCTCTTCCCTCCCACATACCTGTTCTAGTAAAGCTCTGTTAACGAAGTATTACTTCACACCACAGGGCGTGACACAGTATAAATACAGTGCAATGATCTAAGGTGCCTCTAGCAACCATGGCATTCATCCAGCTGTAGTCAAAATGTATTCTTTTGCTTTAGGTCCTTTTTTGCTGCCATCAACATAGTATGCAAATATGGTGCACTGTCTGAAGTGGAAAAGAACGTGATCACAGTATTTTGAAATAGATGGGAAACTACACAGTGCGACCATTGTGCTGGAGGTCCCTAAGCAAACTCTAAGAGAACTGCCTTGCTTGCTCAATGAAGAGCAGTGGCATGCAGAGACACCTAAACAAGCCCTGACCAGCCCAGCTCTGGAATCGGAAGCAATGTAGACGCGTAACTTGAGCTGTGCTATGGGGCTGTGCGTTGGGGAGCTGCAAGGGCAGGTGCTGCTCTGAAGGTGAAAGTGAGCCAGAAGCTGAGGGTGACAGGCAGGCAGGCAAGGGGAGAAACTTACTGACAAGGGGGCTGTCCCACAATACCCAAATAGGACAAGCAAGGCAGGTCAACAGTCCAGGTCACCAAACAAGGCCGTGTCCTTCATTCAGAGTCCCAGGAGCTGCAGTTTCATGACTCTGTCCTAAGTAATGGCAACTCTTACCAAAGATTACTACGTTTGAAAAAAATCCCAAGAATACTGGTTGACTGGCGATGCTACACTACAATCCTTGCTACTCCGGGTTGCTGGCAGGGCACCTACTCCAGTGTATCAGGCAAGAGATGGAAGGTGCTAGCTACCTGCAGAGGAGGTACCTGGTAAGGAGACAATGTGTTTTAGTAGGACTGAAAGGGTTACCGTTGGGGAGGAGGTATAGCTGTCAGCAAAGGACAAAGTTCCAGCGACTGTGCTTCCCATTTTACATTGTTTCTGCACAGCATTGCTTGACTACTGAGTACATGTTACAGACCTTCTGGAACGCTCTTTCAGACAACCAGCAAGACAGTTTGACTATGACTTCGAAGATCTGGATTTCAGTGTCAGCAACCAGTGAAAAACTGAAATGTTTGGCGCAAGTCATTGAACAACTTCTTTGTGACTCAATTCTCACTCTAAACATGGGAAGACCTGTAATGTGTGCCTTTATGAAAGTGCTTTGACCTTCCCATATAATATGCATCATTCTCAGATTCTGTATTAAGTAATGATCTCTGGAAATAGACAACAGGGCAAAATATAAAAGCACATCAAACAGCCAGAAGCACCGGGATTCACAAGTACTTACCACAAACTACCACTACCACTAGTTGCAAAAAACAAACCAGAACCGGGTGCCCACAGCACACCAGAGCAGGCCCTACAGCCATTCAGTGCTGTTCGCCGCTATGGCTTTGAGAAGCTGCATTCTTCTTGCTGCACATACCAATGTTAGCTCTTCCCACATTTCAAGCTAACCTCTTTCTGGACCACTGCATCAATGTCATTCACTAGCACACTCACACTGCACTGTTTGGTGCCTTTGTCACGCACCTTTCGAAGACTAGGCTGTGCATACAAGTGAACTCCTTCCTTCCTCACTGCTTTTCCTCTTCTTCAAAAACTAAGCATCACTCCTGGGGATTTTTATCTGTAGAAGTGAGATGGGAAAGTGTTGATTATTTCAACTTGGATTTTCCAGGAATGGTTCATTTGGGATTCCTGCAGAGGGCTGGTGTATGGATTTGCAGGGTTTCTTTTAGAACATTCTCTGAATCAGAAATTACTGATCACCGTTCATACAGAAGACAGTACGTGATGACAGTTGCTGGTACTCAGACAACAGGAGATCTAATTTTACATATCTTTAAGGCTGCTCAGCTACAGAGTGTAGTAGGAGAAGGATGCAAGTATCTGGGACTACCTCTGGGCTCTACTACTTCTTTCTCATACTTCCGAGGGGAAAAGCCCCAAGCTTTTCCAAAGTTGGGAACTGGGTAAGTGATATTACCTTCCTCCATACTCTTCCACTTTGGCCCCTTGAACCAGAGAGGCCTGGTCACAAAAATCAGCACAGGATGGGGAAAGACATACTGAAGCAACACATCGTATATCTGCTTCAGTGTAAGCAACAGAAAGACTTACATCAACTATTTCATTCACGCTCAGACCCTGGATCAGTGGATGGCATGATCCCTCATTTTGCCACACATTTACATATTTAACAAAATCATCTAAATTTGCGTATGTACAAACAGAAAATTCATTTGTACCCACAGAAAATTCAGCTCCCTGGTATAACGAAACAGTCACATCTATATAGACACAAAAGCAAAAAGTTGCTTGTTATCTATTTACCATATTTGTGCATTCCAAGAACAGTGACTTTAGTTCTCATCTAAGTGCACTTCTGTAATTACACAAATTCTCAGTAAAAGGTTTTGGACTAGAAGTAGTCCTCCACTTACACTGGCAGAGAAGCAATACATCACAAAAAGGAATGCACCCCTGGAATCATGGGGAACGTGCTTCACCTTAGTCAACATATGCAGATGCAGGTCCCAAGATGATAACTGGATCCTTACCATGCTTAGAAGAGTCTCAGGACTGAGAATTTTCATTAATGACCACTGCAAATGGTACTGTGCTTTCTGGGACACTTCCATCTTACGTGGTTCTGAACTGCCACCCCACCAACTATGTTTTTGCGTTTAAACGTCAAAAAATATACAAACACAGATGTACGCATAGATTATTACTTTTTTTTATTGCTCTTGTTAAAAAGTCAGTGTATGAATTATGGCACTATGCTGTAAGAATGCAACATTACCGAGTACTCTAACAGTATGAGGTCCATTATGACAAGATTTTAAACATGAAGCATGAGCTTCAACATGGATTTCCAAATTAAAAAAATAAGCCTAAGAGGTAAATGGATTAATAACAACTAATTTATCTGGAATTTCAATAGCAAGTGAATACAGAGTGCAGACATATTTAAGACATGACAGAGTCAAACAAAGCTGCTAGAAATTGAAGAGTAAATTCTCTTTCTCTTTTCTTTTCGACCTACATAGAGGTATTTGTTCTCCACAGTAGATGAATGTTACAGCTCTTCTACTAAACTACAACCACAATGTGTCAGGGGTTTTGCATGAGAAAAGGAAAAATCTAAACAAAACCTCTTCTACATTGCCAGTCAGAGAAGAAACTCTGTGCTTTGAAATTTTAAAAACAAAAACATCAACATGAAAAAAAAAGGAAAAAAATCACATCTCCTGGGTGAATCTCCACCTTAACAAAACACTGATGACTATTAACTCTGTACTATGGCAATATTTCTAGTTCTTAAGCAAACCCAAACAACTGTGTATCCATCGCTATTATTGCACTTGTAGCAGTGGTGCTTTAACTGGCCTGAAAACTACTTTCATTGTATTAAGGGAAAGGAGAATTTTTTTTTTTTTTACAGGTGTAATTTTACTTGAAAGATGCATTGTAAAAAGCATGGTGTCCTAATTCAAACTGCCATACCCTTTATAAAACAATTGAAGCATATCTGGCACAACACGAAGATATTCGAATGCCTCCACTACTTCAGAAAAAGTCTTAAAGAATAACATTTCCCCGAGGATGGGTGGACACAAAGTACCAAACAAAGGGAAAAAAATGACGGCGGGCATTAGTTTCCCAGCAAAAGGTTGTCTTACATCACACAGCAGATCAGAAATAAATAAGAGGAAACTTGAAGAGTCTGAATATAAATCCTTGGATGATACCCCAAGGGTCACAGGCTTCTGCAAACCAATGTCAGTGTATTTTGTTAAGCATAATGCAGTTACTATATACAGTATGTTTATCAGATAATGCCAACTAACAATACACTAAATTAATGACTGTTAAACAAAAAATGTACTAAAACAACGTACTTACAAACACAGACGGCAACCCCCCAGTTACGCACAGTTACATATGATCAAGTCCAGCTCTCTGGAGTCCAATGGACTGACATCAAGCATCAGGAAGCAGTTTTCTGAAGCATAAACAACATAATCAACAGAACCCAGTCAAGCTGTAGGGGAATCACACTGTTAAAAACGTCTCGCGTCCAATCACAAAACCCTCTGTAAATGTTACCATCACACAGCTGCAATGGGGCAGTCATCCATTCAAAGATTTTACACTGCCATATTTCTCCAAAGGACCTTCTAAAGGATGTGCCATTTTACATGGTGGTGATCTACACACAAACAAAATAAGTGATGAACACAAAGCACTTAGGTTTAGAAGCACTTATGGAAGAATTCATGACATCTTTAGAGTGTATTGTGTATGACTGCACACAGTATTAAGGTTCTTCTGCTTATTATTATGTGGCATCTTACTGTTCATAGTATTTCTACATACTAAGAAGAGCGAGCCTTCTCCCCGAGAAACCAGCTTCTCTGATATGGAAAGCCACCATGCCTGTCTCTTGCTTTGCTACAGTAAAGCATGTACAACGAGGGTGACAATGTCAAATCCCCATGGATCATGACAAAAAGACCCAGTTCTTCCCTTTGTTTCTTGCTCAGCTTCTCTGCTCCATCACAACTGTGAGTGTCAGTCAGCATCCATGTGTTCTTGTCTAGTAAGCAGAGGCTTTCCATCTGTACCACCAATCTTTTTCCGCATCTCTTCCATTGCTTTCAGCAAAGCTGCTCGCTCCTGCTCAAGAGTGAGAATGGACTGCTTCAATTTGCCTTCATTGGTCAATAAAAGCTCCACTGTGGCTTCAAGTTTTTGGATCTTTCCATTAGCAACCTTTCAAAGAAAGAAGAAAGGAGGAGGGGGAGGAAGGAGGGAAGAAAAAGAAAAAAAGGAAACTTATTAATAACTGAAACCAACTTTAAAGTATTTTTTAAGATACATCAATACGTATAAAATACTTTCCAAATGATTAAAATTGCTAAGGTAAATGCAAGTATGAATATTATTAGATCTGTGTACTTTAGACTACAACTAGGGTTTTGCCTATTTACAAGAAACTTCCCTCTCAACTAGATTGCTTTGATTAATTCACAATAAACTCAGAATATAATGCAAAATACTGAAATTAGAAAGTTACTAAGTCTGCAGATTATATACCAGAGAATGGCAGTTTAAGATAAGTCTCTGTATCGGTCACTTGTGAGACACTTTTGGCCAGCTGTATTTCTTGAATTCCATGTGCTTTGCAAAGCAAAGACAACCCAGCCTGTTAGCTGTATCCTCATTTTGTCTTGACATTGACTCCAACAAATGCCAGATTTGGAGGCAAAGGAGGAGGAGGGGATTTAGTGCAATATGCAGATGAACAATACATCTTGAAAAATTAAAAAAATTATCCTTCAAAAGGCTGCATATATGGGCATTCTACTTCATGGTGAAACAAAATATTAGATCATTCAAACTGATCACATGAGATCTGTAGCTGAGGTACTCTGACAAAAGCAGAAGTCTGTTTGGAAGTTTCAGCACTGGATAACACTTGGAGACAAGAGCACTGTGTTGTCTTGGTTTTCAGGGAAGTATTTGCCCTTCTGATGGGCTCGCTGCCCTTTGTGTAATTAAGGTGGGTTAAAAAGTTCGACATTTTGGGGAAAAATACTGACAAACCATGACCCACATTATTTGGTGATGTATTTTCCTCCCATCAGCAATGGATCACCTTTCACCACAGGAAACAAAGGCTGATGAAGCCCACCTTCAAGACAAAGGGATTGCTCCAACACTACATACAGTTAAGTTCCCCGCTATGATGTTAGGTCCTGACTTGCCAGCACTCAGGTGGAGATGAGCTCTGCAGAAAGCTGCTCAGGGCTGCAGAGTCTTTAGGGGCAGGAGGAGGAGTAAGATCTCTCGATGCAGGTATCTATAGGACATCACATCTTGAATCTCATCCTAGAAATCCCTCTCCCCCGTGCTATATTCAACAATTTCTTTGCCCATGTGCCTGAAACTTTATGAAAATATCTTGCAGAGGATTATCTCCTCTTCTGACTTCTCTAAGGCTCATTTTTAGAACCTGAAACAGGTTCAGACCTCACAGGGTCAGAATTTACAGCTTAAGCAAATTTTTGTTAGAAGAGGAAATCTAAGTATGCACAGTTGGCTAGCTTTAGTCATGATACAGGACTAATGGCTGAGAAACATGAACTCCTTCCCTCACCTATTATTTTACAAAGTCTGTGTCTTTAACAATAATCAAGAGGCTTGAAATGTCTGCTTCTTACCCTTGAAGTCCCTTTCTTCATCAGACTAAATAAATGGTCAAAAGTTTTACAACAAATGGCCTGTTATAGAGCAGCCAGAAAGCCTATTTCTTGAACAGCTAAGCAAAGAAACCCCTACAGAGATGAAGTGTACTGCCTCTGAAAAAGCTGCTGACTGAACAGGCACTGAGCGTATATTAGAAATTGGTATTTCACATATTTTGTAAACAATCTGGAGAACAGGTTTTTTTTTAAAATCTTGTAAGAAAGAGTACATCTTTATAGACAACGTATCCCGTGTCTGATGTATCTCTAAATTGTGACACTGGCATTAGCCTTCCCATTCATGATAGGCTAGTATCCCTGCTGTAATAAAGCAGTGACTGAAAACGTAAAAATGAAGTTCAGAAAGCACTTTGTGCATTTTTACTCATCTTGTACAGCTATGATTTTAACTACAAGAGAAGAGATAGTGTGATAAATCAGTTTTTCAATAATTGCAAGCATATGCTCTATCCACCCCCCTCTAAGAATTTCTTCTGCATTTAAACTTTAAAGGCTAAACTAAATAAAATTGCAAGTGGCTATGCTTTAAAGTCACTAGACCAAATGCCAGTCACTCCTGTGCCTTGGTGTAGGATGGTCTCTTCTGAAAAGGTGGATAAATTAGAATGTTAACTAAATATGAAATACAAGTTGTACCTGTAGTTCTTCCAGAAGATCAAAGTTTTGTTTGCGCAAGCTACTGTTTGCCTTTTCTAATTTGTCCAGTCTCTGATTGTCATTTAAAGATGAATCTATAAGCTCATCCTGAAGGACGTGGTATTCAACTTCATACGCTTGCAACTGCTTGGCAATATCCATTTCAAACACCTGTTGTATATAAAAATATTATTAGGTGCTGTGCAGATCAAAAACCATAGCTCATTCAATGCTTTAAAATCTACGGATCTAGACTTAGATATCTAGTCACTGCATACAAAAAAAGGACTTAATTTTTGGCATTCACATCTGCTACTCTGGGAATGGCAGGACTGAGGCAGTAGAATGTAATACACTGGCATTGAATCTACTTAAAAAACTTTGCTACTGATTTGCTGCCCAACTTCAGAAAAATCCCTTACTCTTCAAGTAGTGTAGACTTTGTAGGGTATTCCCCTTTTTAGATTTCAAATTTAATGCGTCTCAGTTTGGCATAAACTCTCCTTGAGATACTCAGAATTGGACGTCACTTTAGAAAAGTGTGGTCTAAGCCCACGTGCCACATGTACAAGTGTAAGGCTAAGTAGAATGAAAGCCTTAAATGAAAACCAGTAAACATTGCTAGGTTTATTTGTGATTATCTGTCCTTACACTGATACACTTAATGGAAACATAATGTACTGTCAAAGTAGATTTCTATTATTGTTAACTACGAATCACAGAGATGAGCACTCAGTCTTATATATGAATATTAAGAAAACCTTTTATTTTAAAAGCAGATAAAAAAATTGAGGTCCACAGAGTGACTCAAAGGAAAAACTGGTATTGTATTTTGCTTTTTCTAAGTTTTGGCAAACATCCACCTTCAAATTTTTCAGGAAATATGACTCTCATGTCCCTGAGCTAGGTACCTCCTTTGAAAGCAGTCAAGAAGGTGGTAAATTAAAAGGACAAGTGTGCCAATCACAGAACACAGTAGAAATAAAGGTTGATGTAAAAATGCATCTGGAAAACAGCCCAAGAATAGAAGTTCAAGGGTTATTCTTTATTTTTAAACCTCTTGTACTTTATTCCTTTTGGAAATGAGTCAAATATAAAATGGTATCTTAAATACCTGTTGAAATAACAAGAATTAATTCCTGTTTTATTTATCTGATTTGTCCAGTAAAACTGTAACTGTTGGTTAAAGAAAATATCAATTTATGAAATGTTTCTGACAGCTGTTACATATGCTATAAAAAATTCTCTCATAGTTGTACAGCAGCAGAAACACACATACTGAGCATCTAAGTACAGAAGCTTGAAATACAGTTTTAATCTGGGGTTGGTTACACATATGAAACTTTCATTTCTGTAGATCTGAGCATCTCTGGAGAAGACACACTGCTGAAATTTCTATAAAACAAATGGTGCAATTCAGCAAGGCAGAATGCTAGTTCCTCTCGTGACCTCCGCCACTTCTAGCCTCTGTGCTCTTGAGAGGGGAGGGAAATCCCTGCTGTCATACCCAGAGTATCAAATCTGAAAGGGGGGAAACATGAGGCAAATCAAAAGCTTGACTTGAAAGCTAGCTAACTGAAGGCAGGTTAGGGCATGCAAACCCAAGGCCACACTGCAGAAGGCGTGAGGAGGATGGGGATTAGCCCAGCAGCTGTGTACGGACCGCGGGGCTGGTCAAACAGCTGCTCTCTTCAAAGGCAGCCCTGATCAAAGCGGGGAAACTGCTCTGTCTTCAACTCACTTCTACCTGCCCACTTTAAACTTGGAGCAGAGCTGCCTAAACAGAGTATCTCTCCCACCTTCCGCTCAAAGCTAATGGTTTTCTGCAGGTCACCTAAGCACTGCAAGTCTCTGCAGAGCTGTGCACTCCAGGCTTTCAGCCTGGCAGGTAACATGCAATCCCCCTTGCCCCTAGAAATCACTTGCTTTCCTTCTTCTTGCACAGGCTTTCTAGTTCTCCTCTCCTTCCTTTGACAGTAAACATTAGAAGCAATTTTTCTGATCCTAATTCGAGCGCACGTCGCCTGGAAGCTTTGCTGCCAGGGATCAGAAGGGAGCCCCTCGCAAGCGTTCCACAGGGTGCTGCGCTGCTGCCTGCTTTCTTTATCAAGCCACAGGCTTTGCAGATCTCCTGCAGCCCTTGGTGAGGGGCAGGCATTGGCAGTTCTGCACAGTACAGCCCCCCTATTTTTTGGACCACAAAAGACCTCAGAAAAATAGGCTAAACCCTGCCTACTGTTTCCCCGCTGCAAATTAGATGTCAAGTGCAACAGTTAAGGTTTCTAAACAGGCAAGCCTTAACTGCAATAATTTGTGATTTTTCAAATTCCATTGTCTGAAGTCTTCTGCTAACTTGGCAATATTGCATATTTTCCTTGTCTGCCATTTAAAAAAGTGTATCAAGAAATCCCAGTTTTTGCTGTCTAAAGTCGCGGCTCACTGCAAGAGACTGCACTGCCCCATATACTCCTGGCAGAAACACAAAGGCACTGTTGTAACATACTGAACCAGCACCACAAAAGCCAGTATAGACAAACTCAATGTAGGGAGGCTTCCAATTTCAGTAAGGTCGGTCAACATTTGCGAGGCTCTTGTAAGTCAATTCTTGCTTCTGAAATGAGACTTGGAGAGCAAGATTCCTTGGAGACAGGAAAACTCAGAAGGCTTTTAGCCCACCTTGCTGCATTTTTTGTGGAATGCACTGCGTATGGGTAGTAATATTGCTGCCAGTAACGAACCATTGCATGCTTCAAAAATAAAAAAGTAAACTCATTTTCATTAAAGGCTTCATAAAGTGACCATAACTAACATGTAGATGTATGAATACAGAAGTACTACACAAGTCATATACTTCCAAAAGTTTTCAACATCTTCAGAACTACAGTAACAGAATTCTCAGCTTGAAGTAACACAATACACTTTTGTGGTTTTTCTGTTAAGAACTTGTCAAAAAGAGCATTCCTTTGCATACCATTCATATGTTCACATCATTTCATACCTGACTAATGGTCTTTTCCATCTGTACCAAACCCAAGTTGGGGAGAGTGCATTTAATAAAATCAATAATAGTTTCTAGGTTCTCATGCTGCAGAATCAAGGGCTTGTGGCTTCCCAATAGGCTTAAAGCCACTTTAAATATAGCCTCTGATCCTTGAAGAAAGAGCATATCTGTGAAAACAAAAAAGAAACAGAGTACATCAAGTGACACATCTTTTGACAAGAATATTAAAACAGTAAAATGTCCAAGGACAACAACTTTTCATAGGAATGATCTGGAGATATAGCTAGATATACTGTGCCAGACGTGCTTTTGTTACTGTGTCTATGGCTTAAGAAGTTTTGTAGGATCAAGATTATTACTGTGAAAAGCCCACTTGACTAACATAATCAATTATTAATTTGTTTAGTGAGTTTTCATCCAAAAAATCCAATGCAAGTTTAAGCTAAATATATCACAAACCAGGTGGTCAAGTTTGTCTGTGTTTCCACTTTTTGTGCATGTAATAGTTTTGTGTTTTTTTTTTTTCTTTTGAGATGTTCATGGGAATCCGAATTTGAATAGAATTCTAATCCCAATGCCATTTAAAAATCCTAATACAACAGGCAAAAACTAGACCTGAAGACATAACCAAAGCTCTGAAGTTCTGTTATTTTCTCATCTGGTGGGCAGAGCTGCAAAATCTCAGTTAACACAACACTGAGCACATGAGGCTAAATGTGCACTTTCCAGCAGCCTCAAGTTTCATGTGCCTGTGCTTATTTCTAGCATGCATCTCAACCACTTATGTTCATACACTGACAACTAAATAAGTAGTCTGAAATCTTAGTAATACAGCTGAAGCATTAATATTGCAGGTGGCCCTGCAATGACAGCACCTGGCACACATTCAAGCACACTAAACCCACAGTATATAATAGTGACCTTTCAATGCAACTTCCTTTCTTTTCTTTTCCTTTACAAATTGCCTATGTCTTTATAGAGGAAAGAAATACAAGACTGCAATGAAAGCATCAGGCAAGAAACCCGTCTTCACAAACCCATCTGTCCACAGTATAAACAGCATTGCCCTGCATTTGACTTTCCTGCTACTATAACTCAGAATCTGCTCCTGGTTTTATTGAGGGACTTGCTACAGGCAAAATCATCCAACATATGAAACAATACTGATGGAGGTGGAAAAGGAATATACAATACTGTGGTTTTATTCCATATTCCTAAATATACTTTTATTTTTAAAGGGCTTCTCTCTTGTTCTTTTCCTTCTTTGTATTTGAAGCTGTGAAGGAAGTCACAATCACTTATGAAGCACCATGATACCAAACAAATAGTATGTCTTAGTGATCAAAAAGAAAGAAAGAAGAATAAAGAGGGAGAAGGCAGAGAAGAAAATCATCACACAGAAAGGGAAACAACTACTAGTAAAACCACAGATATCTCTGATATAGTAAAGAACATACCAAAACACTTGCTAACTGTCTTTCTTAGTAAAAGCAACCTCTCTTTCCAAATTTGTATCAGAATGAAATTCCCCCTTGCACTTTTGACTATAATGTTGAAGCCATAACTCATTTCACTTCTCTCTCTTTCTCTGAGAAAGAAAAGCACAAGTAATGACTAACCATAAATCTTGCACTTTGCCACCATTTGTCCTAAAAGTGGTAATAGAGCAGGCATCTGCCTCACTTCTCTATTGAAACTGAAAACTATAGGAAGATGCTTTATGGGCAAAGCTCTATATTAGGACAGGGAATGCTGAATAACAGCTAGGAAACACAAAGTGAAACAAACAGAGCTGAAAATAATGCATATTTATGATTCAGCATCTGCCCCATAAAGACAGGTAGACTAACTAAAGGTGACCTGTAAGTTGTTAATGTACGTCTATATGAACTGAACTGGTAATATACGCCTGAAATCCCTCTCTCATTTAAAATAGCAAGTACTTAACAAAGACCTGTTTGTTATCCACTGCCCACACTTCCTATTAAGTGGGCTGCCAGCCAGTGACAGTACAGTGAAGGTACCCAAATTAAAGTCAGCATGACTGGCAGCCTACAGGATTTAAAAAAAAAAAAAAAAATCAAGTTTTATCTACAATCTTGAAACAAAATAAACACTATTCTACCAAGTCTCCTCCATTAATAAGTAAATAGGGGTATTAAAAAAACACATCTTTGTTAATGCTGTAGTTTCATTAGATCCTGCTCAGGAGAAGTGTTGACAGTTTGAATAGATAATTAATAAGTTAAAAGGAGTTTTGCTATTTGACTCCTAAAACAGTATTTGGGTTAACCTCTTTCTAGCCCACTTCTTTTGCATATTGCTTGTAAGATGCCTGCAAAAAGTACACTCTAAGGAAATCTAAAGGAAGTGGTCTGTAACAATTATATTATTAAAATTGCAGGGGGGCTTCAAATATCAAGGGTTCAGAGACACCACATTAGAAAACGGCAGTGCAATCTTACAGTGTTTGTAACCTATAGATGAGTTACTTCAACATTAAGAGGAAATATTCCTTCATCCCAAGGGTTCTAGTAAGTGAACAATGAAAATCTATGTACGTTCTGCAAAAGTGTGTGAACACATGGGTCAGAACTGATCAGATCCTAACTTGCCAGGCTGCTAATGACAGTTGCTGGCAGAGTGACAGCTCTAGCCTTTTTAAGGTTTATAGATGTGTTTCAGAGCCTTTAGCATGCGTGAAGATGAGATTTTACTTTCTAACGCAAAAGTATGTCCAACATTCTCAACTTACATAGTTCCAGTAAACACAGTTTTAAGAAAATCACTAAGTACTTTGAAACATTAAAAACTGCAAGCGTTGCTCATGCTGGACTTTCTCTCTAAAAAACATCAGAGATTTTTTTAAGAGGTGACAGTTTCAGTCCCACATGCTTTCCTGTTCTTGACCTAAAATCAGTCCTGTGAAGATCATGTATCTTCTAACGTAAAATCTTCACTTTCTAAAGCCCTACAATCTTCCAGTGCCAGATAAAATACTAATCTGTATATTAAGGCAGAAATCCAAATATACTGGATACACAAGGCACTTTTATACCCTCACTGCAGTCAATTGTCCAATTCAAAGACTCTTCTTATCACGTGTAATATTGTGAATGATTAAGAATAACTGAAAAATAAACTGATTATAAACTCCGGATATGACACTCGCACACAGCACTTCATTTAATTCCTACAGATTATTACTGTCAGCTAGATACTTGTTGATGCACATTAGCCTCCTTTGAACTGTTTTCCCTGGAGTTGAGATGCTAATCACAGCACATGTAGTTCTACTTAGCTATACAGCATCCTTTTCCTTGTGATTTTTTCTAGCACTACTTCTGGCATGTCCTCAAACAGAAAAAGGACAGGATTCTTGCTGGTTCTTCTTGGAATCTATACTCACTACTTTTTATTGTGGTAGGTGAAACCATAATTTTTTAAGTCATGAAAGTGTCCATATTAATATCCTAATACATAATTGCTTCATTACATCTCTTAAGTGAGACTGACTAAAGAAAATGAAAATAGCTTCTCATTAGAAGAGAAGAATCGGGGCGAAAGCTCCAGTCCACCTTGCTCATCATGGACAATCCAGTACCACACAATGAAACTGAAAAACAAACAACTGAAAAGGAAATCATATTCTCAAATACCAAACAATCAATCTATGCAATATACATCCGTAAGATAGCATCAAGGTAAATTCTTAATTGGAGTTTAATTTAAAAAAGGAGAACTTAACTTCTATAGATTTTAAAAATAGGTAACAGAAGTGACTTTAGAGCCTAAACCCCACATGCTTCCAAATATTTTAGTAAGTGAGATTATCAGTCAGGCTAAAATTGTAAAGATAAGAAACAGTAGTTTAAAAGCCCTATGTTTCTACAGACTAAATCCATGATTAAACTGCAAGGGCCATCTGTGTGTGTGTTTTGAAAACATAACCCTCAAAATAACTTTCCACTGATGCCGTTGAAGAATATGATAATGGAATAAATGGATATATTTCTCAGATGATGCCTTTGTTACATCTCTTTTCAGCTTGAAACTAACTGATTGTCAGTGTTGAAATGCCATTGTCATGACACCATGTGTTCATGGCATCAAATTTTACATCCTCTCTATAAGTGGTTACAGGGTGGGAAAAGGTAACAACGAGGATGAAAAGACAGGACATTTTGAGACTGTCCTATGCTTTCCTCCTCTCTCTTTCCATTTTATTGTAAATACTACACGCTCCATAAGATGACCTCTGTTGTTGTTCTAGTCATCAATAGCAAGTAAAATATTTCTCCTGGGTGTCTGAAAGAGACTGGATAATAATGCGGTTCCTAATAACAGGATTCCAAATACAAGACTTCAAAAAGAACAGATACAAGTTTTATGAAGAATTACCAAACACTCTGGCTACAAATCCAAGGGGAAACTGGGAGGCAAACATGGTGAGAAACCAGGGAGCAGCATAGAGGCTGGGGCCAATCTCATGTTCCTCTAGGTGGTTATAGAGATCTCGATGGTAGTCATGAAGAAGTCGAGACAGCTGATACATCTGGATCTGCATGGAATAAGAACAAAGAGACTGAAGCTAAACGTGTTTTAACACTCATAGTAGCAAGGTCCATGCTTCACGGCCTTATTAGAAACAGTGAAAGGTATTTATCAATTGATGTTTGGACGGAATTGGGTGAAGAAAAGAAATACTCAGAAGCCACCTAGAAGACCCACGATGGGTCATCTGCGAGCCTATGACACGCTCATTTGCAGGGTTGTTGGAACCTCATACAACATGTAAAAGAATTCTTTCTATTTGTGGTTTTCACAGATTCCCTGGTAGTCTTTATTTGAAACTAGGGCATTTAAGATGATGTATTCTTTTCCCAGATTATCCTTCCCCATTTTTGAGAACTGAATTTAAGTCCAGAGTTCGACAATGCTATCTATATTGCATCATTATGATTTAACATTAGCATTCTTTTATAAGAAAAATTGAAATCATACCTGTAAAATTGTCATGTCAGGACGATACTGTTTTCTCAGGCCCATGTCAAACATGAGAAACTTTAGCATTTTAAAAGCATCTTCTTCACTCATATGAAGCAGTAGTACTCCTGCTACAAAACTAAGGCCCTGGCAATATCCTACTTCCTGGTCCAGAAGCGAATAGGCCTTCAAAATATTGTAGAGTGACAGCTGCCCAGCTCCCAGCTGTGCCGAGAAGTACGGATGTGTTGGAAATGTGCGCCCTGTGAAAACAGCCGAAGTGAGCGACTTAAACTAAAAAATAACACCCCCCTTGCCATGCTATCAAATTAGACAGTCTTTCGAAGTCCGCAAGTTTGCAGATGATACAAAACTGGCAGATACACCAGAGGGTCATGCGGCCATTCAGAGGGACCTCGACAGGCTGGAGAAATGGGCTGACAGGAATCTCATGAAGTTCAACAGATGGAAGTGCAAAAATCCTACACCTGGGGAGGAACAACCCCCAGGAACCAGTACATGGTGGGAGTCACCCAGCTGGGAAGGAGCTTTGCAGAAAAGGACCTGGGGGTCCTGGTGGTCGCCAAGTTGAACATGAGCCAGCAATGAGCCCTTGTACCAACAAGACCAATGGTACCCTGGGCTGCATTAGGAGCAGCACTGCCAGCAGGTCAAGAAAGGTGATTCCGCCCCTCTACTCAGCACTGGTGAGGCCACACCTGGAGTGCTGTGTGCAGCTCTGGGCTCCGCACTACAAGAGAGATATGGACATACTGGAGAGAGTCCACCAAAGGGCCACTAAGATGGCGAAGGGACTGGGGCATCTCTCATATGAAGAAAGGCTGAGAGAGCTGGGACTGTTCAGCCTGGAGAAAAAAAGGCTCAGGGGGATCTTAACATGCACAAATACCCAGCAGGAGGGAATGAAGAAGAGGGAGCCATGCTCTTCTCAGTAGTGCCCACTGACAGGACAAGAGGCAATGGGCACAAATTGAAGTATGGGAAATTCCACCTAACATAAGAAAAAAAAAAGATAATCTTTTTTAATTGTAAGGGTGGCCAGACACTGGTACAGGCTGCACAGAGAGGCTGCAGAGTCTTCATCTACAGACACACTCAAATCCTGAGCGAACGTGGTCCTGGGCAACCTGCTTTAGATGACGTGCTTTGAGCACGGGAGTTGGACCAGACAATCTCAAGAGCTCTCTTCCAGCATCAACCACTCTGTGATTCTGCGAACAGAGACACTAACGGCTTCACTTTCACAGATTTTTTTCAAAAACTTTTAAAAAATGGAGTATTTTCATTTCTAGGAAAAAAACCCACCCCCTATCAAACTTTACATGTGAAATCCCTCAGCAAAGAAGAAATTTGAATACTTCTTTTGTTCTAGTATTAAGTGGAGCTTGTTTTTCAGTTGCCCGCTTGTTAAATACCACCCCACCCTTTAGCTCCTGGAATGCTGCTGTGCTGCCAGATAATATCAGAGCTCTTGTTTCAAGAAGACAAAGCTCGGGGCAGAGTCCTTCTGCCATCTGGTAGCTGCTGTAGCCTGTCACATGGGACACTGCCATTCAGTTTCTGCGCAGGTCTCCCCTAGCCAGGCTGTCACAGAGCTGAATGTTACAGCAGAAATCTTTCTAGCTTCCAGATGAGAAGTAGCTTGTGTTCCTTTGCAAAGGAACCCTCTGACTGAATAACAAGTTGTTACATCATGGTCTAAAGGCAGACCTGTCCTGCCTCACTCACACAGCAAGGCTCTTTTCATATAAACCATGAAGAAAAGTTACAACCAGAGCAAGAATAAAAATGCAGATAAGTTCTAAAAGAGTAAATGGAGGAGGAACAGAACAGCTAAACACAAGTTGATTTGTTTCTGAGTGCCCTGGCGATGACTTAACTAAGAATTTTAGCTTTTACTTAGAAGCAAACAACTCCTGGCCCTGCTGAAAAGAGACTCTAAATGAACTGCAATACTTCAAGAGTGCCAGAATGACAAAGTGCGTACCTACTATGTTATTTTTGAAATTTAATAAAACAAAACATAATTTTCTACTGTATTCAGCAAATACTCGGTGATGAGTACAGTGGTTTCCTACACTGATAGCATCTGGGAGTCAGTTTACCCTACCTTATCGAGAGAAGAAATCATTCACTGAACACGACTTTGGTGTTCGGAACCTGAAATCCCCAGTGACTGCAGTGGTTGTGCAGGTGGCGCCAAAAAAGGAAATACACAAAAAAGCCTTCAGGGAATTGTGGCTTTGTTCTTGTCCACATAACGAAATAGCACTGTGACACGTTAACTGGGCCAGGCGAGCAGCTGCTGTACCTTACCTCTGCACCCAGCTGCACACTGCTGTCCTCATTCTCAGGAAGCACTTATTTACAGCTGAAGATGCATCAATTCAACTAATTGTGCGCAATACTACTACGGGTTTGGCTCACACTCTGTTAGCAAGCACTCTTTAGCTTAATTTGAGAAAGCTTTTTTAAATATTATAACCACATGTCACAAGAACATAGGTTTTACACTCCAGGGAGAAGCGCGTGCTTTGAGAAGGATTCTTAAAGATTTAAGAGAGAATGCTTTGGATAGCCTGAAGGAACACAAGTCAGAACATGCAAATTCCTTCTGGCTGCCTATCCAGTTATGGTCTCTGTTACTGGGCAGCACTACTCTCTTTCAGTGTGCTTCACTAGGAACTTGGAAGTCTTCAGCTTCCTAGTTTCCTCTTACTGAAATAATAGGGCCCAATCCTTCAGCTAACGGGCTAACAGACAGCTCCCTGGCAAAAACAACACTTCGCATGAAAACCACCATGAAGTTACCAATTTGCCAACACATGCAGTCACTTGTTTCTACAAGCAGAGCACACGGCTAAGACGAGAAAGTATTTGTGTGCAGACCCAGGCATAAAATACGAACAGCTTGCTGAGCCTGCAAGCCCCAATGTGCTGCGTGAGCCAGCCAAACTCGGACTGACTGTGCTCCGTGTTGTCCAGGAGATGTCCCACCCCTCTACCCTCTGCTGAAGGTGTTCAGTTCACCCAGCACAAAACCATTCAGCCCTTACAGAGGCACGTCAGTGAGACAGACTCCTATGCTCACTGCAAGGGGTATCAACACCAGGCATGTGGAATTGACCGACAGGTACTTGCTAGAGAATGATCTCTGGTTGCACATAAATGTCTCTCTCAAAAACAAAAGACTGCTTCTGGTGCTGTGCGATCCAGGGCAACTCCTAGAACTGGTGTGACAAAGTCTGGAGGGAAACAATCTACCTACATTGCAACTGCATGAAGGCTCCTTGGAGCGTTACTTTCTCAGTGCCAGGTCAAAACCTGGCAGGCCTGTCCAGCAGAGGAAAATGAAGGTGGCATCAACCACCACCCTCCCCACCTCAGCTCACACCAGTTTCTGCAGAAACATGCCTATTCCACCAGATTCTTGTTTTCTATGCACTGCCTTGATATTTTGACTCACTTTACCACGTGTTGCAAAAAAGGAGAAAATATTTTCATTCACCATATAAAGCTTAGGTCACCATCTCAACCTGACAAATCTTCTCATGGTTCAGTACCCGCTGAAGATAGCCCACACGCTGAGTTATTAAGAAATAGGTGCCCCTGGACAGCTCTGGGTATAGGTGATCCCCCATCAGGCAATTCTTCCATGTGGAAGAAAGGGGGTATAGCCTTTCATTTGCAATGAAAACCACTCAGATAGTGTTTGAGTAGTTATAAAGAGCAGAAGTATGATGGGACAACTCTGTACTACTTCTTTACTAATCCTTCAGATCAAACTAAGTACAGATTTTCTCATAAAATTTTATTCTATCACATGACCTTTGGTTACTTGCAGCGCGTAACTTCCCCTGATGGGAGTTTTTCATGACAAATTCATTTAATAAAACATAGTCACCTCTTAAATTGCCCCACACAACTCCTCAGACCCGAATCACAAACCCTACAACACAAGCCTGTTGTAAATTCTATCACGCTCTGGAAGACGTCATTAATTTTCTTTATTAGAAAAGAGCATAATGAACACGGAGTTCAGTGTGGGATTATCCCACGCACAAAAGCTGGGATCCTCTTGGAAAAACACCAGCTCCTGGTTTCTCAGACAATAAACTGAATTAAAATATACAAGGGAGGAGAAAACAATATCTTAAAAAATATCCACAACTGTATATTCATGAGGATAATCTGTAGATTATATGTAAAAACTTTCAGTTCAACCATATACCAATGAGGTGTCATAAACTTGCATCAGATGGCTTAGATTCAAACACAAATACTTTTCCCAGGGTAAAGGTCAGACATGTGAACATCTGACTCAACAACCACATAAATTTAATTACCGTCATGTTAGAAGGACTTTAATGACTGCAACAGATTCCACAGAATACTTAACCCAGCTGAGGAGCAGCCATGTGCTGCTTGGGGGCAGGACTGGATAGAAAAGGGAACAGCCTTCATGAGGCAAGATGGAGAGGATGCCAGAAAGTGCCTCTGTGAGGTCTACAAAACAAATAGCTGGCTTGTGGGAGCTTCTGAGATGGAGAGGTTGCTCGTCCTGATACAGACTTTAACAGAACCATTCGGGAGCAGCAGCAACCAGAGACTATAAGAATGTTTAATACTGATCGACATCTTACAGAGCATACTGGCTTTTGGTCTTTTTAAATGTTCTAGAGTTTCGTTATTGTCTTAGTCTAGCAGTGGCAAGAGTCAATCCATGAAAGACAATCTGACACAAGGGAACTAAAAGTGATAAAGGAAGAGGACCAGGAAAAGTAAAAGGAAAGGTTAAGAATGACATAATTTTTTGATGGATATGAAGACTGCTCTTTTACAATCATCTGGAGCAACCTCTTCTGCTCCTACCCTAAAACAATAATTTATATTTTCTTTCTCGTGTTTCCTTCTAACACCAGAAAAAAAACTTTTTGAGCTTTGAACAAGAAATGTGATGGAAAATAGAAACTCTACTCGTGAAGACCAAAAGCCTGCCTGAAGCCCACCTACTAATCACTTCAAATTTAAGAGCCTTGGTTCCTAACCTCTCTACTAAACTCAAATAGTATATGTGCCTCCACAGACCAATTCACTGTCCGTAAATCAGGAGCCAGCTACTGCTTAAAATTAGGCAGTGAATTAGGTGTGAATAACCTGCCTTAAAGAGAGACTTTTTTTTTTTAATTATTAAAAAGAGCTTCTTTCATAACTGTTTTAATACAAGTGAAAATAACAACTGCTAGAAATAATCAATTAAAAAAAAAAGCAAAAAGCAAAACTTTTGCATTATTTCAAGTGTTTAACAGATACAGCAATCAGTAGATATCAGGAATTAATAGCATGGTATTCAAAAGTCTGTACGTAAATGTTGACTTCCTTTCTCGACAATTTGCATTCCATGGGCCTGTGGAGTTCACTGCCAATATCTGAAATACAGACGCATTACAATTACAACTAGCAATCTCTTATTACGACGTGTTGCAAAGGACCTCTGTGCTTGAAATGAAAATCTTGCATTTTTCTAATGGTGTCAAGTAATAGTTCTCACTTCTACCAGATTAAAAGCAGGTCTTACCAACAACCTGTTATTAAATGGTGAGAGGCTTTTTGTGTGTTACCTTCTTTTATTTAATTCTCTTCCAGAGATCATAAACCCCTTATCTTAATTTCATACCACTACTGTACTTACCTAGGTCAATAAGTATTGCGTGTTGCTGGGAAGTTAGTTGTTTTAGGAGTTCTTTATAAGGTGTGTCCTTTGGTTGTTGTTTACTTGAAAACTGATGTTTAAGATGGTATTGCTCTGCTAGAAACTTCCAGATCTCCCCACGGTGGTGACGTGGTACTCCTGAGAGAAGAAAGTCATTAAAACAGCAATTTGTACTCATACTGAGGGTTCAGCTATAGCTGAGCTAACAGGACTGAGGAACTGAACATCCATATCTGCTAAATATGCAAGCAGATCCCTATCTGCTAGATCCATATCTGCTGTCTCCAGCAGACCATAGAAGCAGATTGAACTACAGTGCTTGTACTTCTTTAACCAATAAAAGACATCAGCGTCTTAATAGGAGAGATTAAGGTAGAAACAGGGTGAGCTGACTAAGTCTAAGGTTACTGCTCTCATCTAGTCTAAGAAGTACTAGAAGTGGCAGAAAAAACTGCTATACTTGCCTCTGAAAAGCTATATGCTTATCGCCCATTTTCCCATGTAAAGTACACAATAAAGCACTGCAATAGAACTAATTAACATTTTTCACCACTGACACTGTTTTTAGTAGTAAGTGTTGAGAAGGCACACATACCAAAAGTACAAACAAGTACAAATGAGAAGTCTTCAAAAAGGGCAAGAAGGAGGACCCAGGGAACTACAGGCCGGTCAGCCTCACCTCCATCCCGGGAAAGGTGATGGAGCAGCTTATCCTGGAGGCCATCATGAAGCAAGTGGAAGAAAAGAAGGTTATCAGGAGTAGCCAGCATGGATTCACCAAAGGGAAATCATGCCTGACCAATCTGATAGCTTTCTACGATGACATGACTGGCTGGGTAGACGAAGGGAGAGCCGTGGATGTTGTCTACCTTGACTTCAGCAAGGCTTTCGACACAGTCTCCCATGATATCCTCCTAGGGAAGCTGAGGAAGTGTGGGCTGGATGAGTGGTCAGTGAAGTGGATAGAGAACTGGCTGAATGGCAGAACTCAGAGGGTTGTCATCAGCGGCGCTGAGTCTAGTTGGAGGCTGGTGACAAGTGGTGTCCCCCAGGGGTCAGTACTGGGCCCAGTCTTGTTTAACTTCTTCATCAACGACCTGGATGAAGAGTTAGAATGTACCCTCAGCAAGTTTGCTGACGACACCAAACTGGGAGGTGTGGTAGATACACCAGAAGGCTGTGCTGCCATTCAGCGTGACCTGGA